CTTGATATTCAAGTACATCTTAATAAAAAGGCATGTACAAACACAGAAACTAATTTTCTTTACGTTTCTCTGGCTTAACATTATTTCAGGACAACACAATTTCAGTCAGAGTGCTTCTGGTTGTATCATGTTACGCCATTAAAAACTCCAGGAGCAGGATCCGTTTTGGGAATAGGATAGTTGCTCATCTGGTCAAAACATTCCCTTGAATTTTAGAGAACTCGGACCTTCATTAAAGTGTCCAAAATAGCCCTTATCGTAAATTAAGTGAATTCAATCCGTGCCTATACAAAGTACTTCGTATTGTACATTTTATTATTTTCCTTCCATCTGGTGGTCGTGGGTCCAGTGCTTTGGTAAAAGAACTTAATGATTTGTTTTAAAATTCGGCAAGAGAAAAATCACACTTTCGCAATTCTGATACAACCGGTTTAAACCAGTGGGTGGGACTGATTGAAATATGCTGTGTTACCAGATGCTTCTACTGGAAAATCCTATATAATGCATAAACACTTAAGATTAAACTAAAGATAATGATATTCACATACAGTACGTCGCAACAGCTTATAAATATAAATTTCGACAACTGATAGGAAATCGACCAATTGGCTTTCAATGTTACTTGTTAGTTCGTGATTACAGCGATTGGGGGTTTTACCGTCACGCTTTCACCATGATGTGAAAAGAAGGGCATTTTTGTTCCGCCCCCATTGTCCAAGCTACAGATACGGTTGTAGTATGATTTGTTTTATATCACAAAAAACCAATAGTTATATTTCAAATGTAAAGAAAGTAAGTTTATTTCCTTAAGGAAATAATTTCACATTATAATAATATTATACTATGAGATACCACTCCTTCAAGTTTTCCCTCCAAGTTCTAGCGTCTCATGTAATTTGTTTCCACGGCTGGGCTTAACTGTGTCGTACCCTGAGGCGATAAATTACTTGAATTATTTGTGAGTTTAATTATAGAAAACAAACAAAGCCATGTTAAGTGGGTCTCATTTTGATGCACATAAAATTATAGGTAAATGGAAGGATAATATTAAGGACTGTCTTAAAGAGGTGGGGGTTTATTAACTAGCTGAGCGATTATACGAGTAAGTGTTTTATCAACTCTATGGGAAAAGTGAACAGTTCAATTCTATTATTAGACTTTAGAATTTGAAGCAAATCAGATGTGGAAGTTATATAAATAGGAATGATAATGTGTCGAGAACTATTGTGACATAATGATGGCATACATATCGCAGGTATCTTATCTCGGAACCAGTATGTCCACAATTATTATTTCTTGTTTACACATTAATATGAAATCGTACAAACTATAGAGTTGCCTTTTTGTGTGGGTAAGGAACTTGGTCTCTCATACTAGGCCTAAGGAAAGCACAGAGAGCGAGGATATCTGAGATTAGCGTACTTTACAGCAGGTACCCAGCCTGTTAATAACATGTTGCAAAGGGTGACTCTTATGTGCACAATAATGGACCTTCAGGCACCATAAAATGCCAAGAATTTCTAACCCAACTGAGCAACTGTAATTTCTTAAGATGGACTGTGCTCAGAGGAGCTATTTACTTAAACACAGTTTTCGAACCGTGTTAGTCCTTCTGTCTGGCAGCATAATTATCTTCGAAACTGTAAGCTGAATGGGTACTTTGTATTTGTGGCTTCCCCAATATGTTTTGCAACAAGCTCAAATAATGCTTTAAGAAGAGTTCCATCTTACGAAAATGTGGTACATGGCTAAAAATTCAGATATGATTAAAATTTGTGAATTCTGATTTTAACCTTCTTGAATCAACTGCGGTCTGCACAGAGGCTTTGCTGTGGACCGATATTCCTTCAAGGGAGTCTACCAAGAGACTGAAAAAATCTGTGGTTTCAGAGTTACTTCTACAGAACATGTTTGCCTACCTCTCGAGTGTTGGTTCAGATGCCGTGTTAGCGTTGTCAGCTAGGTACGAGAGGGCTCCGTCCCGTTTTCCGAAACCTCTAGCGGTGGAGAGAGCTACGTTCTTGAAGCCGCGTATTGTCCTCGGTTTGTTTCGCGCATTCTGGTATGAAGGCCCCGAACTTACGCAGTCGCACAGAACCAGCACAACTAGGACTGTCGCAGCAATCATGCAGTTCACGCTCAGTGATGCTCTCATCTTGCAGACCTGTAACACCAAGAAACACTGTTTTAAAGTCTTTGTTCCGGTCTTTTCTAGATTTTATCTAGCTCTTCAGTGGTAGATCGACATAAAAGTTAAAATTCGCTACTGCACATGGTTCTGGGCTAACTCGCTATCCTGACGATGGTGAGTGACCTGCATGTCATTTGAGGTGCCTAATAGCGACGTGTTGTTAATTCCCCCTTCGTATATCCACACTGTTTTAGATATTTCTTATGAAACACCAACCGTCTTCAGTTAAAAAGGTACCTAGTCAGTGAGACAGTTACATAAAGATAATCTTTGTAGGATTTGAGATTTTCATGGCGGTGAGTCTGAAGATGGCAGTCTTCTGGGTTGTTGCGCCGTGTAGTCTGGTAGAAGTTTACCGACGTTTCAGAGGTCCTTGCTGCCTGCATCATCAGATTGTTCGACAGACCACATTGCCCAACAACTTAGAAGACAGCCATTTTCTAAACCTAATCTTCTTAAGTGGGCCCACCACATTACATAAAATCCTTTTCCAGCTAAATGGAGACACTCCTGTATTAAACCCACATTATGAAAAACGAGTCTAACTAGACAGAGTGTTTCCGTAGGTGTTAGAAAGATTGACAGAAATGATATGAGGTTGCGTATCGTGCTCGGAATTTTAATTGACTTTCTCTGTATGGACATTAAAATGAAAAGTTATATTTACACTTCCAAATAAAACACAGAGTTTCCGATACATGGAAATATTTGCCGTTGACTAAATTACAATGGACACGAAATTATTTTCAGGTGAAATTTCAACTATTCTTCCTTCTATACTGACAGGGGATATCACTACTCGAGCATCGAACCTAGTTGCTTTCACTTCACGTGCCTAAGATCAACATATAGTACGTAGTTTTATCTCTCTCTCTCTCTTCCAGCTTTAAAATACCGAATGGATTTACATTAAACTTTATGTCTTCCAGCTTTAAACTACCGAATGGATTTACATTAAACTTTATATTAGTTGGCTCTGCGTTAAGAGTTGTACACAAAATTTCTATTTTGGCTCGTTTGACTCCCTCATTCAGCCACTAAGTCACCACTCAGCCATCTATCCCGTATTGAGATTCCAATAAGCTGTTTGTTCATGTACTTAACACCGACTCAACTATCACGCACGCACGGTAATACCGAAATTAATTATACGTATGAATATAGTTTCCTTTTAATACTTTTATTGTAAACGAATATTACCAAACTAAATTCGAATATATAACCTGTACCATGTAACTTAACAGCCTAATTAATATTGTAAACTTCCATGAGATCTCAGGTCAGTTAAAATAATTTTACCATTGTCGTTATCTATGACAGATTTCCACTACGAATGCCCCGGCCAGAATTGCGTACAGTTCTTAATTTCTTTAAACTTAAAACTATGTTAAGAATATGGCGTAAGAACGTTCAGTTTTGCAAGAGTACGGTGGCTAGGCAATGACGTGTCTCACGGAAGGCGCCTGTCTCTAATCTTGTTATGAACGTCGATGTACAGTGATTGCCATTTCTGATTCCTTATCAAGAGTTCCAGGAATCGAATCTTTGTCCGAAGGCATGCCATCATTACTGAAACTTCTTCTGGTACTCCTCAGTCCCTCAAGGGAAAACCTTGGAGGATATCATAAATAGTCCACGACGTCAACCCATCATTTAAAACTATGTAGTTAAATAAACGTTCTTAAATAACTTAAAATTGGAAGAGTCTAACCAACTTTGCTATAGAATTTGTTTCTGCACAAGTGAGGGGGTGGGGTGGGGGTGGGGGGTTTGGGGAAAGCGTTAGAAACAAATTTTATTTTTTTACTTTAAAGTCTTTATAATACTGCTGTTTGTAAGAATCAGTGATTTCAGTTTATATGGAACACGCCATCGTTGTAATAAATAACCTAAGCGTATCCAAACATCATCTGGCATTGAAACTGCGAGCAAACTGAGAGGGAATCTTGTATAAGTGGGAAACCATGTCGCAGTGCACGTTAGATGACGATTCCCTGAGGAAATCCCAAATGGGTTAAAAGTGAACCAGGTTTCTGTCTATCTAGGGTTAATAACTAAACTTTTGACAAAGACGGGAGTTCGGAAACTGCCTTCCAAACCGCGAAAATCAGCATATAAAATGACTGTTATTTTCTGTGTTTGTGAAACGTTTCTCATACTTTGAAGGATGAACACAAATTACAAGTGTCTGAAAATACGTTGCTTACTAAAACATTTATACCTAAGAAGAATGAAGTACGTGATCATTTTAGAATATTAATTAACGAACAATTTACGAGCTTTGTCTCTGGCTCAGAGTGTTTCACAATAAAGAAGAACTTGATAGAAATGTAAAATGTCAACTTGGATGACCTAATGGATGGAAGAATAACATTAAGATGAGAATTAAGGAAGTAAGTTGAAAGACGAGTAGGCGGAAGAAACTGGGTTAGGATCGTACTCTGATGTCAGCGGCGTTGAACCTACGGGTCCTGCTACCACAGTGTTATGTTTCTTTAAGTCTTTCTGTCGTGACGACTTCTGAGCAAAATTTACATCGAAAACAAACAACTGATTTTGTATTCAGCCATTGTCTATCGTGGTACAGCGCTCGCCGTGCTTCATTTGTCTGCATTCTGATATTCTAAGACTTAGCAGCACAAGAAACGATGAGTTCTGATATTATACGAAAATGGATGTTAAATAAATGGAAAGTGGATTGAAGTGACTCAGGAAACCATTTATACCCATGCTAAATTGCTCCTTTACAAGATTGTTCAGTCCTTCATACCCACCATGACCCATTATCACCTGTCAGCTGTCATTGACCTTATGGACTGCTTGATTTCTTGCCGACTGATTTGTGTGATTGTCTGAGGATGGCGAATGTGTGCAGAGGTCGTACCAAAACCACGAATTGCACCAAGACATATCGTTCGAAGTTCTACACCATACGATTTTAGCATATTAACAAATGCACTGTTAAAACACAGAAACTTTTCAAGGTGCTACCTAATCTAAAGAAATTTTTCTAAGCACGTGATAATAATGAACTTTAAAAAAACTTGAAACTGTGAAAGTGAAACTGTTGGTTGCTGGTCTGTTTTTATATTTCTTGCACGCTTCATCACAAGGTTACCAACCCGCGTTGTGTAAATTTATTTGCATAGTAAACTACAAGGGCGAACATAGTAAAATGTCCCGGACGTAAAGTCACCCATCTGACGGGCTGTTTACCTTATTTGTTCACCTACACGGACTGTTTGCAGACGTGAAAGCTTGTTGCGTGAAGGGCGTGAGATGGAACTGTACGTTCATATTAGGTCGTACGTTTTTATATTACTCGTGAGAGGTAGAAGAAAGCGAATTTCAGATTCTCTGTGTTATGTAGGTTTGTTTGACATTGTCCAATGTAGTAGAATTTATTGAAAATGAATGCGTGGGGATGAAAAGGGCACATGTCAGTATGCTGATTCGCGATCACCGAGTGTATGAACACCAAGATTTTGGACTTACATTGTAGAAATGGGTGCCAAACTGCAGGGATATTATTCATTCTCAAATCATTTAGCCGTACTGTTTCAACTATTATTATATTATTATTATTTAGTGTTCTGTCTGACGACAGGTCCATATGAACAAGATCCTTCCATCCTTTTCTCGGACTGGGACCTGTTCATATACGTTCTTGGCAGATGATCCAGAAGTGGTTTGCCATTGCCTTCTTCTGTGTGTGAATAGGATGCCACGGAGAAACCGGGGAAGCCCCCGGAGGAAAACTCCGTGTTGCCTAGACCACGGCCTCGCCCAGCACAAGTTATAAATTCGGGCACGCCGGGAATCGAACCCGAGACCCCAGGATGGGCTGGTTTATGTATCAGGGCCGTAATCAGGTATTCATTTTGCCCCACGGTTTGAGCTTCCTTGCTACATGTCCATCCTTCTCAAACGAGAATGATTTTTTCTACTGTAGTACTAATCAGAGCATGCGCAGATGTTCATTTTAATTTCTGTGAAACATTTAGAATAGCATGCAGCGTTACGTTTTATAATGATAATGTTCGGATACATTCAAACAATTTGTTTAGGTTCTAAGTGATCATGCACTGACAATTTGAGACTATGTGTTATTTAAGATTATAATAAAGTCGTGAATGGTGAGTGGGTAAAGACCTAGAGGTTGAAATTTAGTCGCAGACTATCTGTAACATAACAATGCTTCACGAATTTGTTGCCACTCACGTGGAAAAAGTTGTAAAATGATTAATTCACTCGCACGTGCAGTAAGAACAATGGTGTACGTGACTGGCACCGGAAGAACATTGCTGTAACGAGTATATAAGTAACGTAAAAAAAATTGTTACCACGAGGAAAAAGTTCACAATTGTTACTAGCAGCTCTCTGATAATGTCTTAACTGGGACTCCCTACACTCATATCGTTTTTCATTCATTATCTCTCGCACTTCATAAATCTAGTCTTCAATTCAAGGAGCGAGCCATGTTGAATAATGTGTGATAACAATCCAGAACAGATTATTATAAGTGCTGGCGTGGGTTCGTGGAAAAAGTGCAAAGATTGTGATTAAGAAGACAGGAAATATTATAAATAACTCCATGGAGCAGAGTCCTTTAAGAAGCTGATAATTGTTCAATCGGCCAGTGAATTCCCCGCTTTTTGTAGAAACCCATGATTTATAACTGTATTAAAGAAATCAGCAACTGATTCACATCCTGTGAATCAAATCCACATTTTTGTGCCCTATGTTTAAAGACACTTTTCAGTGTTGTTCTCCTATCTAAGCCTAGGTTTTACAAGCGCTCTCCTCTCTTCAAGTTTTAAACTAATCGAACGTATGAATGTTTCACTTGTCTTATTCATGATACATTCTCCGTCTGTCACCAATCGAGCTGAGCACTGTAATAATATTTGACGGAGAAAACAAACTACGAAAGTCCTCGTGCACAGTTACCTCCACCCCTCTTACTTTCTCTA